GCCAGCCCCCCAGCGGCTCTCCCCCAGGTGTCCCCAAGTCAGCTGCTGCTGAAACTGATCAGCGGCTGATTCCAGAGCAGCTGGGGTGCTGCTGGGTTGGTCCCCGCAGCGCCGACGTGTGGTGCTGCGGGGACCTACCCGGCAGTGCCCCAGCTGCTCTGCCCCAGGCGTGTCCGAGTCAGCTGCTGCTGGTCAGTTTCAATAACGGCTGAATCTGGATGCCAGTTCCGACTTACGTACAAATTCAACTTAAGAACAAACCTACACTCCCTATCTTGTACGTAACCCGGGGACTGCCTGTATTGTAGCCTTCTATGTATGCCTGACTCTTACAGGTGATCTGTTTTTCAAAAAATGGATTTGTTTTTGCTTTCCTGAAATAATTTCTTTGGTGGAGATGAGTTCTACCTGTTTAGGTCTCAGCAGCACTGGAAAGATATTTTGATGACTTGAAACCCCAAGTGAAGTGATAAAAATCACAAGGCCAAGAATTAACAAGGGAGAAATAATTTTTAGTCAGACTTGCTTACTTTTATTAATATCAATTTGACTTCAGTGACCATCCAAAATGTTGTTTAAAGGATATCTCCGATAAAGATTCAACATCTCCACCCCTTCCGTTAAGTAGTAAAATCTTCAAAAACACATACTTCAAGATCCCATAAAATGTCCTTTGGCAAAACCTTACATTCCCAATATTTCTAAAATCAAAAAACAGATTAAAAAATAATCAGGCCTCCCATATAAATCATTAAAAAAGCCACAAGCTATTTTAAGTGCTTTGCAGGTCGGCACTGAATTTCTTCCTTTTTAGAGAATCACAGAGAAAGTGAAACTATTTAAATTCTTCTTCAACCTTAAAACTAGTCTCATTGCTTTCTACTCTACTTTCTGCATTTCTAATTCAGCAACAGTGAATACAATATTTCATATATGGATGCTTCACTCCTTACAGTGTGAAAATATTGGTAGCAGGGATGTGAAAGTCACACAAACCCACCCTCCCCTGCTGCCTCTGTATCAGAAGCCGTAGTGTGTGGGGCACAGGTGGAAGCGCACACTAGCTCCCACAGAGAATCACATCACCACCACCCCGTGTGGTGGGTAAGTGGCTCCACGGGAGCCCCTATGCGCAGAAAGCCAACTTAAAAGCTGACTCCCTACACACACAGGCAAGGGACCACGAGCCTTGCCAGCCCGGAGCACTGCCAGCCCCACAGAGTCCTGAGCCCCGGGAATGGTTAACCATGTAATGGATAGAATTGTTATCAGTCACCGAGTTAATATCTTTATTCATTTATATCCCTAATTTGAATGTTTTTCTTTTTTTCTGAAGCATCACAATTATATAAAGAATAACAATGAAGTTTTTACTGCAATTATGCAGTGCTCCAAAGTTTCTCCCTTTCACGCAGTGGTTCCCAAACTTTTCAGCATCACGCCCCCTTCTTGATTTTTGAAAAACCCTCATGCCCCTCCACCCCAAAAAAGCAAAACTTGTTGGGGGGGGGGGGGGGGGGGGGGCGCACACAAACTTGATTGGGGGAGGGGGGACTGGGTCGCCTCGCACACCCCCTGGAATTTCTTCACACACCCCAGTTTGGGAACCCATGCGTGTAGAGTATCAAAGTTTGTCTTTTTTTGCTAACAAAAGTTGATCCATAAAAAATTTGACTTCACCCACTTCATCTCTCTCATACACAGCATCTAACACAGCTACACCAACACGGCACAAAAAAATCATCAGATTCAACATTTTAAGAACTACAGAACCTAAGATCAGTATTATAACCCTGGCATTCAACTGGACTCTTGTTTTTCTTTTCAAATTTAGTTCTACAATTTGAATTCCTCATATTTAAGTATACTTTGTTGAAGAGTACATTTATTGCAAAAAATGTACTCAAATCTCACATATTCAAAATTATGTTGGTTAAAAAAGGTAGTAGAGATGCTCAAAATAGAAAGATAAAGATTTTATTACGCCTTATGAAGTAACACATGGGGAAAACGTCTACACAAGCTTCACTGTCAAAATACTTAGTCACATATAACATATACTATCAATAAGTTTCAATATTAATATTAAAACAATAGGTGCCTTATATCACTATGGAGATTACCCTAAATAACTAACTCGCCAATAGGCAATGTTACTACACAAGTCTTTTCAAAACTGAGCCCTATATTGACCAAATATTTCCTACTACTACTGAGCTCCAGCCCAGCTAAACGAACACATTAGCAGCTTGTCTCTGTGACTTCATTTGACATGTAAAAATTTCTGGAAAGGGTTAACCTACAAGCCTGGAATATCCATTTGTTATGGAAAAAACTTACCAGACGTGCCATAAAAAGAGCAGCAATAAAGACAAATGAAAACACAAAAATGCCATTTGCTAAAGGGGAAGAAGTTTCAGTTTTCGCTTTACCTTTAAAAAGGAAATGAAAAAGGGGAGGCTGGTGTAACCTACCAAGGCCCCTACATGATGGGCTGTGTTGTGCTAGCCTGTGAAGAGACGTACATACAAGGTGACTAAAAGACAACCTGTAAAGCGAGGCACATCGATCTCATGAGCAGTATTACCAATTTTTTAAAAATAAAAATCTCCTGCCACGTTTTCTGCGGTTGGGGGACAGAATTCCCCGCCCCTTCCCCTGCACAGGTCCTACCACCAGCAGGCCAACTTCGAAAGACGGTCTGAGCCCCCGCCTAACCAATGACATTTCTTGGCGTTAAAGTTTTGGAGGCCCCCACGCCGCCTCCATTCTCAGGGGGCTGTTTTCAGCTTGGCCGAAGAGCCAGCAAAGC